ACATCACAGTGTCTGTGATCACACTTGTAGTAATTGAAGAGATTAAAGCAGAATTTAGTAAATATTTTGGTGCAGCTGCTGATAAATAAAACAAAAACAGACCCTAGAAAATTAATTTCAGAATACTGTTTGAATTAAATAGAAGCTTTAGTACTTAAAGGGTTCCTGATTTTTGGGGGGTGGTCTCCCCACTAAAACAGATTGCAACCCTTCCATCTAGTAGGTGGTATTTGTGGGTCCTGGTGACCCAAACCAACCATCTCCTTGTGCTGGTGCATTGCTCCGAGATTGGCTAAATTGGTCCTCTGATAACAAGTTTGCTGGGATCCTTTGATAGCCTCTGAGACCCTTTCTTGTTCTGTCTAGGTCCAGAGGAACCTGCAGCCTCAAGGACACGTGTGGTCTTCTAGATCCTCAAGTGCGGCCCTTTGACTGAATTCAAACTTCACAGAACAAATCCCTCCAACCTGTTATGACTCTAGTAAAAGGGAACTTGGAATACAGGGATCTAAACCACTCTTCCTTTAGTACAGATCAGTGATCATACTGTCATAGAGAATTTACAGTGAGGAAACTCCCACTGGAAATGACGCTCAGCTACTGCTTTTCAATTTAGAGTATTAGAGAATTGCTGGGGGGTGGAGGGTGGGCACTGAGCCAGCTAGGTGGCGCCATAGTGCATAGAACACTGGGCCTGGAGTCAGAAAGACTCCTGTTCAAATTCCACCTCAAACACTTACTAGCTGTGTGACCCTGGGCAAGTCACTTAACTGGGTTTGCCCCAGTTTCCTCATCTGTCAAACGAGCCGGAGAAAGAGATGGCAAATCACTCTAATATCTTTTCATAGAAAACCCCAAATAAGGGTCATGAAGAGTTGGACACAAATGAAAAAAAAAGCCAAACCAACACAAAAACAAATGATTAAAATGAGAGGTGAAAGCACTTGCTGAGGTGTATGCAGCTTGATGATATGAGGCAAGACTTGAACCCAGGTTTTCTAGAATCCATATCCTCCCTATTCATTGTCAGGATGCTTCTCAACTATATCTAATCTGGTGCTGCAGTTTAGGTGGGATTCCAGTCTGGTGGTGAGAAGGGTTACATATAAAGAAAGCATCCATCAACAATTATTTGCAAATGTAAAACATGACATGATTCGTTCATTATTAGCATTGTGTTTAGCACATAGTATAAATACTTAATAAATGCTCATTCATTCATTCATTCAATCCACCACTAGTTCAGTCTCTAAACCACTGACTGTCATTCTGGGGTCTTCCTGGGGAGGCATGCATGACAGCAATTCATCTGAAGTTCTGGGGTTTTTAGAGGCACTGGGTGGCACAGTAGATTGAGCCATAGGCTTGGAGTCAGGATAGACCTGAGTTCAAATCTGGCCTCAGTCACTTAACTAACTGGGTGACCCTGGCCAAATCACTTAATCTGTCTTAGTTTCCCCAACTGTAACATGAGGATAACAACAGCACCTACCTTACTTAGCACAATGCTTTACAATTATTATCTTATTTTATCCTGACAATAATCCTGAAAGGAAGGTGTTATTAATACCATCCCCATTTTTCAGATAAGGAAACTGAAGCAAAAGGAGATTATTCCTTTATTTCCTTTCCTTTCACTCTTTTAGTGGACCAAAGAATCAATGCTTGTCAGCAGGGTGATGTAGCAGCCAATACCTAATACCAAGCTAATACCATTTTGGGCAGAATTAAGAGATGGACAGCTTCCTATGAAGACAGGAATATGGAGGTGATAGTTTTGTTAATCTCTGCCTTGGTCAGACCACATCTAGAGTGTCATGCTCAGTTCTGGAGGCCATGTTTTAGGAAAGACATAGATAAGTGCTTAGCGTAGCATGCCAGCACTGTCCTAAGCACTTTACATATATCACTTCATGCTATTATCCCATTTTACAGTTGAGAAAACTGGGGTAGACAGAAGTTAAGTGACTTACCCAGGATCACACATCTAGTAAGCCTCTAAAGCTGGATTTGAACTCAGGTCTTCCTGACTCCAGTTCCAGCATGCATGGTTAATGAGGATGAAATGAAGGGCTGAAAACCTTTAACTTGGAGAAAGTTCAAGAGAGACCATGGTGGTCCTCAAGCGTTTGAAAGGCTATTACAGAAAGAGGGATTAGACTTTTTTGCTTGGCCTCCCAGACCAAAATCATAAGCAACAGAGTGGCAGTTGTAAGGAGGCAAATTTAGCCTTGCTATAAGGAAAATTTCCTAAAAATTAGAGGAAAGTTAAAGTGGGATGGAAAGTAAGCTCCATGAGGGCAGGAAATGTTTTCTTCTCTTTGTATTTACAGCATTTAGCCCTATGCCTGGCATACAACAGGCACTTAAGAAATGCTTGTTGAATTTAATTGAAATTTAACTTTAGATCTGGGAAGAACCTCTAAGTCATTGAGTATACCCAGTCCCCTAACAACCCCTATTTTACAGATAAGTAAACTGAGGCCCAGGGAAGTTGTAACTTACCTAAAGGCATTAGGTAATAAGTAGAACTGGAATTTCAACCAGATAGGCTGTCTGACTCTAATGGATCAAATAAAATAATCTACAGAAGCGCTTTGTAGCCCCAAAAGCACTGTATTAGAAATGTCTCTCATCATTCTCTCTAAAATCAGTCAATATTTATCAAGCGCCCACTATATGCCAGTCACTGTACAAGGCAGGGGGTAGGAAGAAAGCAGAAGAGCAGCTCCTGCTCTCGAGCTGCTCCAGGCTGCTCTCTTTTCCCCTTGGTGCTGTCACGGAAACCCTGCAGGTTGAGGCTTCAGCGTGCTCTCAATTTGTGTCCCAATGATAGATCAATAGGTTTTCCGGCATTGATGCAACTCCATCAGACGCAGCGTCCTCATGCAGGTGCTGCCTTCTATTGCTATACATTCACACGCACATGCGCGTTATAAAACCCCACGCATTAGATACATGCACATGTATATATGCGCAGGTGTATATAAGCACACACTTTATATGTGTAGACACACATGTATAATGCAACGTATATAGGCACACATTTATATGTATGTGTATACATGCACATGTGCGTGCACATACACAAACACGTACCTAAATATACTCATATACACATACGTGCATAATCACAAATTATATGTGATATACAATATACAAAATTATATACAACATACTAATTATATATTATGTGTATATATGTACGCACAACATATGCACAGATACATATAATGTGCAAACATGACTTGGCATTGCAGCCATGACATCACAAACTAGGCCTCTTTCCTAAAGGCCGATGCAACCACACCGAACTGCCCACCATGCAATTTCCCGGAGCTGGTGCATTTTACTCAGTGGCGGAGCCCAAGGGTTTTTTGTTTTTATTGTTGTTGTTTTAAAAGAGGGTGTCAATCCCCGCCCCCCCTCCCCCTACTCGGCTACTGCCGCGGTTTTACGTGGGAAAGGTGCCCCGGGGGTGGGGAAGCGGCGAACGAGTAGCCGCCTGAATGCGAACCCGCACCCTCCACCCCGCCCAGGCACTAGAGGTAGGGAGGGGGCGCAGCGCGCATACCCCGCACCTTCCAACAGCCGGCGCAGCCGCTCCCTTCCTCTGCAGGGGAGCCCGCGCGCGCCTCCCGGGCCACCGTTCCAAACCCCGCCCGCTCAAGCAAGCAGGCAGAGCTCTGCCTAGAAAGGCTCGGGCCCCCTCACCCCCGCTCGGCGGCGAGCCTCGGGAGCGCGCGCGTGCGCCTCTTGGAACGTCTGGCTGGCGGCGGAGCCGAGCCCGAGCCAGTGCTGGAGCAGGAGCCGAAGGGGCCGGAGCTAGGTTTGGGGAGCGGCTGCGGGAGCCGCGTGAATAAGGGGGGCGGGTTTCCAGCGCAGTGCCAGGAGAGTCCCCGGGGTTACAAAAGCCGCAGATCGCCGTAGACTTCTAGCTTGCCGTTAGACAGCACCCGAAAAGACCTTTGGAATTATTTATCCTTATTATTATTTTTAAAGCATTATTAGTAGTAGTATTTTCGAATGGAGTTGATCCCGAGTCAGGGGGTGACTGTCTGTGCAACAAGATGGGCTTTGCTGTTACCCTTGTGGGGAAGAATAGTCGCTTGATTTTCCATCTCTGGTCCTTTTTGAGGTTAGGAGCCCTTAGCCGGTGCAGGTAGGGAATAAGCATTAGTAAAGAACTGGGTTTTCGGTTTCTAAAAAAAATAATTATTAGATCCCTGATTATTGCCCCCTTTCCCCTCTCTTGAGGAAGGGGCTTCAAGTCACCCGGTGATTTCTCCTCCACTTCTTTTTTTTTTTTTTTGGAAATCACTTTAAAGGGCTTGGAAAAGCACCCCCAAGCCTCCCCAACCCAACGCTGCCGAGCTGAGCAGCAGCCGGAGGTAGCGTGGAATTGAAGCGCTCTCGCTGCCCGTCTGTGTGCCCGAGCTGGGAAAATGGAGGCTGTGATTGAGAAAGAATGCAGTGCTCTGGGAGGGCTCTTCCAGACCATTATCAGCGACATGAAGGTAAGAATTGGGGAGGGGAGCTGGTGGCCAAGCGCTCCCTCCCTGCCCTGCCCTGCCCACCCCCGTGGGGAGCCCTTAGCTGGAGCTGGGGAAATTGCACCCGCACTGTTTGACACATCCCTCCGTTCATCCTTGTACGGAAAGCTCCCCACCCCCCGATCCGTCCCATTGCCTTCCTATCCCCACCTGCACGATCCGGGGGCTGTGTTAGCTATAGCCCTTTCCCGGGGGAAGGCTCTGCTCTCTTAAGCTGTTCCTGCTGGGCGATGGGTGTAATTGAAAAGGATGGCCCCTAACAGCCTAAGAGGGTCCGCCTTCCAAGTCTAGAGGCTGTTCGAATGTGACTACACCCGTGCCACCATCGCCCCACCTCTGGGACCAGCGCTTGCTTTCCCCAGCTCCAAGTTTTCCTATTGTCTTTGCATTCTAGCACTTGTAAAGGACGTATTGAGCGCTCGGACTCCTTAGGGGAGGGCAAGTCACCTGCAAACCAAACCTGTATCCAGGAGGAATGGGAGCTGATGATGGTGTTGGAAGGAGGCGGAGGACGTAGAGGAGGATAGCAGGGTAGTGACTGGTGACACTGCCCCGGTCATTACCTAGTGTGGCAGAGTTGTGGGAGGAATGGAGGGAAAAAAAGCTGGCCGTTTTCTCTTTCTAGGAGGCGAGCAGATTAGCTGGGTAATTAATCTGTTCCATAGCTGCCTCTGTGCGTGATTGTGTGCTGCGGGCATTCCTGCCCTCACTTTCCCCTTGGGAGTCTTACAGAAGTTCCCAATGCACCCTTTAATAGTCTTCTCCCCAGGGTCTTCTTCCCCCTACCGCGCCCCCACCCCCAAAAAAAGGAAAAGAGAAAGGCGTCTCCTTTCTAGTCTGAGTGCAAGCGTATACAACCAGCCCAGCCCCCCCCCTTTTTAAGAAAAACTAATATTCTGATGTAACCACTTTAAAGGTTACCTTGTACATGAAAAGGATTGAAGGACAATATTTTTTTTTCCCATGGAACGGATGGCAAACACGACCTTTTTAGAGCCCGTGGAAGAAGTAGCTCGCCAGCCATCCCTGCTCAACTCCACCAAATGAAGCTAGCTGCAAAGGGGATGCTTAAAGGCGTAGTGGGTAGGGTGGGGTGGTTATTATTATTGTTATTATTATTATTTTTTTAAATCTGTGTTTAGGGATCGTTCTTTGGCTGTGGTCCACTTCGTTTTGCCTCAGCAGCTCTGGGTGGGTCGTGTTTAATTAAAAGTAGGTCTCCTAAAGAGAGTAGGCAGGTTTGGAAAGCTCTGTGTGTGCGTGGGTGTGTTATGCGATGCCCCTCGTTTGCTGCTGCTGTACCTACTGTAGATCGGCTTTTGTCTAATGAGCAGTACAGGTCGGTCCAGAGCTCATTTCAGTGGACTTCAGGAAGAGTTCTCCCCCCTGCCCAAACCAGGCTTAAAACACTCGCACAGACACACTCCCCCTCCCCAGCCTTAAAGCACACGTAAACCGTCATCTCCAGCGCCGCCCCAGAGGGGTGCTTTTTTTTCTTTCCCTTTTTATGATGTCTTTAACCATCCTCCCTCCATCTTTTTTATTGTGGAAGGGAAACCCCAAATCAAATTGTTGGAAATCTGACTTTGCAGGAGGACTTTGTTTCCATAGAGCATGATCTGCAGTGAGACTCTGCTTGCTAGAAATTATTTTAGTTGCAGGATCATTGATAAGAAGAGCTGGGAGGGATGACAGAGGCCATTTAGCCTAATCCCTTTATTTTTTTAGATTAGGAAACTCAGGCCCAGAAGTGAAGTGACGTGTCCAAGGTCACACAAGTTGTGAGTGGCAGAGCTGAGATTCCAACTCAGCCTCTTAACTGCAGAGCCGCTTCACTGATCTGGTCCTTGGAATGAGAGGGATTATAATTCCTTCCGAAAGCCACCCCTACCACCACAACCTTCTTTTGCCCTTTATAGATGTTGAAGTGTTGAGTACTTTTTTTTTTAAGATTGAGGTTGATTCATGCTGCATTCTGAAATATGTGAATGTGTGGGTATACACATATTTATACATACATACATATATATTCAACTCAAGCCACCTCACCTTGTTGCCAAACCAAATGTTTATTTGAGTCAGAGGGATTTTCTAATTACTGGGAAAGGGTTTTGTGATCCGATGGTAGAGGTTGTGTTTTTACTTTTTGAAGAGATAGATGGATGGGTGTTTCCCGTGTCTGTAGTTTTTAGAATCCTCCGCTTCCCTGCCCAAGCCGACCCACCACAATCTGGGAGTGTTCACATCTGGAGTTTTCCCCGTCTTTGTTCTTTTTAATCCAGAATCAGGGCTTGGTTCCTCCCATTCTGCAGTTCCCATCCAAAATTTCAGAAAGGGTGATCCTGTTTGAGCATTAGGTGATCTGTGCCATCCCTCCCTGTTTATTCTTCTGGAGCATCCTCCAAGTTGATCATTCCTGGGGGCTAACGTCCCATTCTTTGCTCCTGCCAGGTTCCAGTTGAATATAAAGAATCCTCTATTTCATTCCCTTTCAGCTATTGATTTACAGTTTGTGGTCACTGGGTTGTTTCCCTTTTGAATTTAGTAGTTTGAAGAGTTGTATGCTTTATTTTCCTCTCTCAGTACAGCATTTAAAAATCGAGTTACAGTAAAAGTCTGAGGTAAACGTGCCTTGGACTCAGCAAAATTTCATATTCTCCTTTGGAGGGGACTAGGAAGGGGAAGAAAGGGAGAATGTCTTTGATTTCCAAGTGTGTTTTTCTATGAGATCTTTGTATACAGAAACACTATTTTCTTTGAGATCCCCCCCCCAATTCCTACTTGGATTAAAGTCTAATAAATAGAAATTTAAAAGAAAATTTCCTAATTCTTAGCCCTATAGCATAAAACTTGAAAGTATACAGAATCTGGACTTATTAATGTTGCATAAAGAGTGGTAGAAGAAATTGATTTTTTGGATCTGTAGCTCAGCCTGTTTAATGACCTGCTTTGTTATTTTTTTCCCTTTTCCTTTCTTTTTCCTCCTACAATGCATTTATAACACCTCTGATCCCCCCTTCTGTTTCGACTTTGAAGGACAAGCCTTGCACCCTTGGAAAAGCAATAAAAATGGTTTCCAATCCACCTTTATTGGGCAGGTGTGGTAACCCACGATTGTAGTATACACAGATAAATTAAAAAAAATAATTGAGTGCTTTCAGACCTGGGAAACAAAATCATTAAGCAGTAGTGGCTTCCATAATGTCATCCTTCCCTCAAAAAATGTATGGCAATGTCATTAACAGCACAGGAAGGGAGTAAGTTTCCTCTTTGGAGAATTGAAGTGAATAATTCCTAGGCTACTACTCTCCATTCATTCAAGACTGGATAAACTTAGGGACCAGATCAAGAGAGATTCTCCCTATATTTTTGTAATGAGATTTCAGTTAAGTCCTTACTGATGAGAAATATATACCTTATACTTTTTTTTTTGTTTCATCCCTCCTCCCCCATAGATCTAGTGGAGTGCCAGGCATTCAGTACATGCTTAATAAATTCTGGTTTGGCGTGAATGAAATGGCAGTTTTCTTTTTTTGTGCTTTCTTACCTATTATGGTTAATGACTGCTGTATAATGATGTAGAGAAACGCAAATCAGTCTCCACTCTAGGGAAGGAGAGAGGAATAAGCATTTATTCAGTATTTTCTATATGCCAAACACTTTTTACAAATATTGTCTCATTTGATTTACACCATGTAAATTATGCCTCTGGTTCTTAAAATGATCTTTTTTGTTTGAACTCAAAGGAGATGAGAGATGATATGTTCATGGAATGCAGAGCTAAAAGCTGTCTTAGTGATCATCTAGGCCAGCCTTCTCATTTGACAAAGAAGGAAACTGAGGCACAGAGAGATTAAATGCGTTGTCTAAGGTAACATGTAGTAAATGGAAGAATTGGTATTTCACAGAATTTGAGAGTTTTAAGGGACCCCGTTGGCCATTTAGTTGAACACACATACAGAAAGAAGGAACCCCCAAAATGGATTATTTTTTGGAAAATTATATCAGACCATATTACAATGGTAGGTTACCACATTTGCCCTACAGTGAGTTGGAAATCATTTTTATTGCCCTTCTAGGGTGTAATGCTTGTCTTTCAAAGTCTAAATAGAAGAATGGATCAGAGGTGTTATAAATACATTCTCTAGGAGGAAAAAGAAGGGAAAAGGGAAAAAGCAGGCTAATCATTAGACCGGAATTTCCACTCTGAGAACATTCAGGACAAGTCTTCAGGCTCTTGTTTGAAGACCTCCAAGGAGAGGGAACTAACTCAGCACTCCTGGAGGCAGCCTCTTCCACTTTTGACAGCTCTGATTGCTGGATTTTGCCTGACTTGAAGCCTAAATTGGACTCTGCAACTTTGACTAATTGCTGCTAGTTCTGCCCTTTGGGGCCAGAAAAGAAAAGTCTAATCCCTCTTCCCCATGTGACAGCCCTTGAGGACAGCTATCTCTCCTTTCTATCTTCTCTCCCTCACAGGCTTCTCTTCTCTCTGGTAAACATCCCAGTTCTGATTTGACCAAGTGGTCTTTTGACTCCCAATACTGCATGCTTTGTAGGGCACCCCGATGTTGCCTAGGTAGACAAGCTCTTGTTGATCGAGATAGGAGGGAAGGTGGGTTATGACACTGTATGTCACATATTAGCAAGGGAAACAGTAAAGAGAAATGGTGAGTGCCTTGGAAATCTAGACATTTGTCATGAAGGCCATTGGCTGACTTTGGATCCTGGATTTAGAAGTCAAAGAGACTTCAAAACAGGAGGTGTTAGAACATAGAGTGTTAGAGCCGGAATGGAATTTAATCCAATCCCTTTGTTTTACAGTCAGCTAGGAGGTACAGTGGATAGGACCCTGGACCTGGAATCAGGGAGACCTGGTTTCAAATGTGGCCTCTGACATTAATTAGCTGTAGGACCTTGGACAAATCACTTAACCTCTGTTGGTCTTAGTTTCCTCATCTGTAAAATGGGGATAATAATAGCACCTGCCCTATAAGATTGAGGATAAAATGAGGTGACATTTGTAAAGTGCTTTGCAAACCTTGAAGTACCATGTGAATGCTAGTTATTATTTTTATTGTTATTATTAGCTATATGACCCTGGAAAAGTTATTTAACCTCTGTCTGCCTTAGTTTCCTTATCTGTAAAATGAAGTTAATAATAACACCTGCTGCACAGGGTTGTTGTAGAATATTTTCAGAATTATTATTATTATTGTAGTCTAAGTGAGAGGCTGCCTGAACATACCAAACACATTTTTTTCTTTGGTAAACTAGGACAGTAAAAAATTTGGTGATGTTCAGCCAGCTGTTGCATAAAAGTTGGGGGTAAGCTTTCCATTGAACTCTAGGTTGCTAATCTGGTTGATGTTTTTCTTCTTTCAATTATTAATTTACCTTAAAAAAAAGGTAGAGGTGGGGGTGAGGAAGATTACCAAAATCCAAGGCTTTCATCACACTCATTGCTCAAGAAATAGCATGTCATGTCAGAAGCTGGGCCATTCCTGTCGAAATGAGAACTTTGTACAAGGTTAGGATGTTGTGTCTGGTGGTTATATAAAGTGACTAAGGTGGGGTTTGATGTGTCTTTCCTAAAAGTCTCCCCAGCACCTCTGCATTTAGAGAGGGTGTCAAGTTT